ACTATTTTTTTAGCAATGCACACAAAACTAATCTGCAGTTCGTTTACCGTTGCAAATAAGCTTTCTACAAATTGGGAACGAAAATGTCTACTTTTCCAAATATTGCTCATCTAGCGCATGTTAAAATTTACTTTTATGTATTAATCTTTGACTTTTATTCATCCTTCAACTATTTACAGTTGAAATTATGGAAAGGGATCCTGAAACTGAAGAAAACGTGCGCAGATAATCTTCTCTCCCATACGTTACATGCAGTTTTTACTGTTTTTTGACTAAAATCTGAACGTCCGGTCCGGGGATCGAAGTCGTGTCTCCTGACTGCAAAGTTAGCGCGCTACCCACTGAGCCACGATGCTAGTTTTTTTAAATTGTTTTATTGTTATTATTTATTATTATTGAGAGCAAAATTGGTTACATTTTTAGACATGACTAATTCTTAAACTCAATTTCGGACTGTGAAATATTTAGGAAAAGAGGAAGAGTGGGACCTGATTAAAAATTCAAAACGTGCAGATTGGAAAAGGACAGTGGAGGGCAGAATGTCATGGCGGCAGAGACAAGGCCTTTTTTAGCCTTTAAGTTAATGATGTTAATGATGATGATGATGATGATGATGATGATATTAGAATTTATTAACCATTAAAATCCCATTTGGGCAAGGCCCTTCTGCTAGGCAGGATAGTTTACATTGAGAAAAGCATCTCGAGCAGCCACTTTGAGAAGATTATTAAACAGTATTATCATCCACTAATCATTTTTATTAATGGTTGCTTTTTATAATTTGTTTTTTGTGCCATTTTATCATTTCATGTACTATTATTTTAATAGCCAACAACTCGCTAATATTCATGGTATTAGATTTGTAACAGTTGGCGCTACGTGATGTAGGCAGCGCTTTCCCTTCCGTACTACGTGCGTTTTAAGACGCAAAGAAAATTTAGGGTCATTAAGAGGTACAAATAATGGAATGAGGGTACAACAGTGCCGTCTATTTAATAAAATAAGATGTTTTGTGTATTTTGTCGACAAAGCAAATTTCGTTCCACCATTAGAAGTAAAAATTAGAAAGACCATGAAACTTCATTCATTGTTGTATTTCAGCATAAAAAATTGAACTTTTGTTTCAATTATTGTGATTAGAATGGAATACATTTGATAAAATTAACAATATAAGAAACCCCGAATTATTTGATAATATACATCAGTATGCCTTCGTCTCTAACTGTACAGAGAGTTGAGTTTGTTACCGCGCCTGAAGAGCAGAACGTCTTACGGACGCATACAGTAGCACCGGAAGGTGAGATGTTTATTCATTGAAAATTGAAATGCGTCAGGTACAACATTCATTATATGTAAATCATGTGTTTGTGAATTAAACACGAAGTAGTGAACTCATGTGATAGCAGCAAAGCAGTATTAACTTTTGCGGACCGAGTACTATATGCCTTCTATACGAAAATTAAAATCACTCAAGCCATTCTATAAATGATAATTAGTAAGTTTCATAATTTTTTTGGTGAAATTTCTCTATTTATGTTATAATGAAGGAAAATATCGATGGCTAAATTTTAACAAGTTTCTAAAAACATTGCGACTTCAGAAGAGAACAAATAACGTTGCAAAGTCTCCATTACAAACTAAAAAGCAAGTGACCAATTCCTGCTATTTCAACAAGTTTCCAGTTTATTTATTTGATATGATTTAATTTATTTGATTTAGAATTGGGTAGAATGTGTTCGTTTGCGTGACCTGATAATCTCTAAACAGCTAAATGTGGAGATGTTAACATTTAGACATTGATATTTGTTATGATTAAATTAATATCTTTTTTAGTCCCCTTTCTAATATTTTATTGAGAATTACTACAAAGACATGTACATCAAGATGACCATAAGAAATTGCTGCTGATTGCAAGTTTCGTAGGACGAAATAAAATAGTTTACATCTTCTCAGTTCTCGAGGTAACAGTCTTAGATTTATCGAAAGTAATTTCCTCCACCCATATTGACTCTTAAAAGAAGTTGAGATAACGGTAATTGATAATTGGTCATATCGCATAAAATAGTACCAAAGCCAGTAACATTTACATCGCATGAAACTCCGGCATCTAAAGAGTATGGTATTTCGTAATTGCGTACACTGGCGTTCCCTTATCTATGCACCGCCTGGTCTTTTAGGTTTAGTGCATTTGCTCTTGCTATCAAACAATAACTCATCAAACGAGTTGATTCCGGGCATACTAAAAGCCAATGAAACTACAGTAGACAAAAACACTACACGACAAAACATGAAAATCGCAGTAAACATAAAAACACCAATTCACTTCCTGCATTGTTTTTACTATAGCACCCGCGTGATTTCGAGGTCGTCTCGACAGCTCGATTGTCCAAGGCGGGAATTTTGAAGCTCGCTAAAGCACAGTCACCATCCGGCACGGCGCAATACAATAATGCGTTTATAAGAAACAAGTTACTTGTTGGATGTACATCCAAGAACAACAGCCGAAAGCAAAGAAATAAGCGCTAGTGGTGATTGTCAAAAGGCAGTCAACATCTCAATCACCAACACTGCGCTAGAATTTCGTAATTCTAACTATTATCACTCTCATAAATATTACGATTCCACAATAACACACACATAAATCTCAACGACGCATAAGCGTAAGGAATAAGCGCATCAAACATGCAATATTTTATCCAACGAGTTTCATTTATATCACAAAGTTCAAGAAACTAATTACTTTTGTAGTCGGTTCATGAAGTTCACAGTTTATTACTAAGATTCTAAGCAAAGCCCAATTAATAACGACGCAAGATTTTCTGATGACATTTGCGAGAATGTACTTAATTGACACGATGATAAATCGTAGAATTAGTCACACTTATTCAAATCCAAAGGACTTTTGGGAAAGTGTCATAAAACTTAATGGGAATTAGATGATTCCTCGAGAATATAAAATAACTAATATATTAGTACATTAATTTAGTGTCATTATTCACAATTTAATTTTCTTCTCGAAAATGATTTTTCAAAATCGTTTATGAAAAAATCACTTATGAAATTAAATCAAAATTAAGATTCAATTGAAATATAAATACATATATCATTCATTCCCCATTTTTAATTATGCTCAAACAAGAGTTCACTTGGTACGAAAACATGAAATTTTTGGTTAACCTAGTCAAATCTTCACATAATTTTTTTCACTCTACATCGCTGACTATCTCTGTGCCTGGTACCAACTGATGTTTGTGAACAACGTTTAGCGGTGACAATGAAGATGCGATATTGCTAAAAAAACATTGATTTTCAAAATTTAAACATTGACATTAATTACACATCGCCCAAAAACCATTGTTATTTTAAAATAACAATGTTTATAAATCTCTTTCAATATCCTCTAACATTACTGGTTTTACGGGCAGAGAGTGTTGATTTGAGTGACGGTGTTTATTAATTTGATTAATGATTATCATTGAACTTGCAAGATAAAAGAAAAATAACCACCAATTAGAATTTTTTTATTATATTGAAAGAAAAATGATACATTACATTACTTCTTATAAAAATATGGATGTTTTGAAAACATTGACATCGATGTTGCTTTGCTAATTAATTGCCACTTGACGCGTTTGAATCGTTTCACTTTTATCCGAAAGCGAGACTGCTAGAATGTAGAATTTCCTTCTTTTAGATCCTTATTTACTCTTGGTTTCTTGGATGTGAACAAATTTAATTTATTGATACGTGATTATAGTGAATTTTTTATTATATTTTTAATTTAAAAAAACATTGACAACGCAAATAAATAATAAAAATAAACGGAGCGGAAAACTTAAATTGCATCCCTAAATGGCAATGCTCCAAATTAAGGACACAACAACAAACTTCTACATAGCAGAACGCGAAGAACGTGTGAGTGGAGGGGTGTGTGGGGTGCATCACTTGACTGTCATTGTCTACAACGTCGCTCAAATACGCAGCACTTCGCAACTAATGAAACAGCGCTCCGCCCAAAAGAGTATGGGTTCGAGTAACAGGAAGATTGAACCGTCATCTCCGCTATTCTCGCCGATTGGATAAAATTCTGTTCTCCTGAACAGACGAAACAAACAACATTCTAAAATTGGCTAGCGATCAAACATCTATCGGGATTAAAATTAAGACTTTCCAAAAACTTCCGTGCTCGCAAAACATTAGTCTTCTAGGCTATTTTTCAAAATTGCGAAACACTAAATTTATGTTCACCACTAGAAACGCAAATGTAATTTTCACCCGATGAAATATTACACTGTTACAGAGCAATATAGGACGAACAGACAGTGAATTTGAACTTCACGGTGCACAACTATTTGTTAGCATACTCTTGACAACAAATACAATTTTTCAACCACCAGTTTTTTTACCCACGGATAAATTATTTTTTCTCTTAGCACGAGGTGCAATGAACGAAGATTGATCTTAATGACCAGAAAACGATAAAACGCTATTTCACACGATGGAATCACGATTGTCACAGATCAATATCTCACCTAACGTATTTAGCGAACGGAAGAGGCGAAACACCATCCAAACTTCCCGGGTTCCGTTCGGTGGGCACCACTAAAATATACACCAGCGCCACAAATCGGCCGCAGATAGCAGAACGTCTGTAAACAAGTGCGCGCCACTGGTGTTGTCAGTGACAGCAGCAAACACCACCTCATTCAAACTCGAACCGAACGAGTTTATCATCCACATTCAGACTGTCATCCTACATTTCAGTTTCAGCCGCAATTTCGAGCCCCAAGGCAGGGCGGAGACACGCATTGCTCGCCACTGACGCACTGTCGGCGGAGCGCGTGCGCGCCGATGACAACGCATCGAACGCCCAAACGCGTACGACGGATGATTCCACTCTCGACACGGGCGTGGGCCACACTCGCAATCGAAGACACTTGTCCTATCGGAGTGGCAACGAAGGGACAGCTACCACTACAGCGGCTGGTCGCAGGTCTTACCTGGTGCGAAGGCGGAGAGTGGTTCCACGTTGGGGCAGGCGCCGACGACAGGGGCGGCGGCAGCCGTGGAGGTGC